GAAGAGAAGAGGCAGGCTTCGGACAGGCCACAGAGAGGCCGCGGCAGGCCTGCCGGCTGCCGAGGAGGGTTTGAGGGCGGGGCCCCGTGGGTGTCTAACGTTGCCTTCGGAAGCCCAGAGAAAAAGCTTTCTGAGCCAAGCTGCGGCCTTTGTTTGGCCAGTGCAGGGGTGATGCCGACGCAGTAGGGCTTTGAAGGCGGGGGTGGCTGCTTAACGTGGCATGCTGGGGCTTTCGTTTGCACTGCCACCCGTTCCACCCTCCGGTGTCCCTGGCGCCGCCCCGCTTAGGCAAGGGCTAAGCAGGGGTCGGCGGATATTGGACGCAAAGTACGGTGTTTCTGGTGACCACCCCCAAAACCTGATTGAATGTCCTGACCAAATGATTTTGGAAGTCAGAACATGGAAGATTCCACCTAAGCAACTTTAAGGCCAAGATCCATCAGTTTATTTCACATTCGTGGCATGGATCACCGTGGAAGAAGATCGCCATGCTGCTGGTCTTGAAGAAACTTGGCCTCCACTGGCCCCACCAGACTGTTGTATTTTTTGTGGATGGGCTGAAGTCAACAGGCTTGGACGCATCCCTCACGCGTCAGGCCCGGATGACGTCATCCCTGGGTGCAACACGGGCAGGGGGCAGAGCCACTACCCCAGCTCTGCAGTGAAGGGGATGAGCTAGGGTGTAGTGGATCCTTACGAAAGCAACTGTTTGTAGCACCACTACCAGGGCACCCCATGGGCTCGAAGGGGAGAGTGTCTTTTCCCAGACGCTCCATGTCGGGAGTTTATTACCTACCTCAGGGTGGTTTCAGGGGTCAATGTAAGTATACATGATCCATATGTGGAGTGTTTGGGTACAGTAGGATTATAGACAATTGTTGTTGGAATTGTTTGTGTGTGTATTTTTTGGTTGTTGCTTGTGTGGCTTTTGGCTTGTGTGGCTTCTGTGGCTTTGGGCTTTAGGTGGTTTCTGTGGGTTTCGACTTTGGTGGCTTCTGCCACGTGGCTTTGGGTTGGCTTGGTTTTTGATGGCTTGCTTTTGGATTTAGATGGCCAGGTTTTGATAACACTTTTTTTGCATGTTATAGCTTTTTGTCAGCTTGGCACTTACTGTAGTTTGCTCTTGGAGGGAGGCGCTGTGCCCTCCCCGCAACCCCCTCCAGCTCAGCAAAGCCAAGTCAACCAAGCATACTAAAAATAAAACTAACCCACACCCGAACTAAAGCCAAGCCCAAGCAAGCAGTTTTGGGTAGGGTTTGGGGTAGGGAATGACCCGTCGCCGCCACTGAAAAACTGCACCCTCCTTAGAGGCACCAGGGGACTACACTGCGTTCCAACACAAAAAAACATAGGGAGCAACCTGGCAAAAGACATCGAAAAGACAAGGAGCAAACCAATCCAAGACTAACATTGCAGCCTTATAGACTTGCTGGGAAAGGACAATCTTCGAAGGAACCCAGTGCCGGCATGTTTCGGAGAAAGAAGAAAGGAGAGAGAGAGAGGCTGTGCAATAGTCACTAGTCTTTTGAATCAATAGCCCAGACAGTTTACACTTTATTCATTGAACTCATTACTTCATTGTTTCACTGTCTCACAGTGCCACCCAATTACCAAAATAAATCACAAGTACAAACTAAACAAGCATAAACATGTACATAAACATCCCAGTGGCAGGTCAAGCTCATTCAAGCTCCAAGGAATCACAAAAAGGGACGCCTCCTAGTCAGCAGTGCCAAAGAACGCCCTTTTCTGATTAACGGTGTTTCATTAATCAACCGTGTACATTAGGTGGCCAAACAAAGATTCATTTTTGACGAGTCCTACATGGCATGTGACCCGTGAGGGTCCCAGACAGCTGTCTGGGACTCGATCCAAAGGGAGGGATCCCATCCGTGGATTGAAACGGAGTGGCAGAACAATTGAACCAAGACACTTCATCCGTAAACGGGGTCATCAATCGACTACTCCTGCTGAGAAGTAGGCACAAACACAGAGGTAGGCACACACGCACAAGTAAGATTCTTGGGGGTGGAGAGATTTGGAGAGGGTTCCACTAAGATCATTTGATGTTTTGAGAACACAAAGGAATTCATTAGAGCTCTCAGCGTGCTGTTGATCAAGAATTAGGCTCAGGCATCCCTCAGGCATCCCTGTTTTCGTTGCTTCTACTAACTGTGGCTGGATGTCATCTCCATGTCATTTCCGGAGGAACGGCTTGGGAGCTGCCATAGTCGGAAGTCTCCTAGCGTTGATCATGGTCCTCTTGAGCAGTCTCAACTTGCTGCCTGGCTATCCTCGGCAGCCCTTGATCGAGCCAGACAGGACCAGTGAAGAGAGACGAAACATACACCTGATACACCAGGCAAACCAAATGGAACGGTTCCAGGGGATGTTGAATTGGCTTATCAAAAAAACAGTAAAGAACAGTAATATTATATATGTTTTCGCTATTTGGCCATTTGGATATTTTCTTTGCCAGCCGACTCCGTTCCTGGCGTTGCTTGTGCCAGGACCTACATTTTTGCGCCATGGGGCCTTGGTGTGGGGATGCTGTCTGGTTCAATTGTGCTCTTCTTCAGCGAAGCGCGTCAATCTGTCTTTTTTGACAAGATTTGCATCCACCAGAAAGACGTGCGCTTAAAGTTTGAAGGCCTGGGCCGTGATTTCTGTATACTGTATTGTTTCATACTGGTGTTTCATCATCGAATACAACTGGTGTGCAGTTTAATGTGCTTGTAAAATGGCAACGCCTTGGGCTCTCAGGTGTCATCAACATTTGCGCCTTCTTGAAGAACTCAGAATCGTTGTTGGTCTTGTGGGATGCCACATATGTGGAGAGGCTTTGGTGCGTCTTCGAGTACCCGAGATGCGATTAGTGAATCCCGCTGGAGAGTAACATGGAACCTCAAAAGATGTCGAATCGATGGTCCCTCAACCTCCAATGTTTAGGTTCTTTGTTGGCCTTGGAGTGTAAAATCAGTTCATGTTAAAGTCTTACGGGTTGCAATGTCGAAACTGCCCAAATAGTTGCTGTTACTTGATTCTTGCATAGCCGCAAGAACCCTTGGAGTCCAAAACCTTGCATTTCTTACACAGCGCAGTCTCCGAGTCTCCGAACGTGAAATAGTTCTTACCTCGAGCTCATGAGGTTAGCTGCTTTCATGAAAAGCAGCGAAGATGGGGGGCGGAAGTTGATCATCAAGCCCACCATCCTGGGTCCAAGTTCCATTGCATCCTGCATCGGCTTATTTGCCATGCAGCTCTCACAGACTGCGGTTCCTTTCGAAAATCGCCTTCACGGATTTCTCCTGTGGTCGTTGGTTTGTTGCCTGGGCTTATTCTCAGCTGTCTACGTTTGGAGGAGACGCTTGGGTTGGAAAACCAGAACAAACCGGATGGCATCCCTTATGATCACATCCACCGATTCACGAGAGAAGCAAGACCGAAAGGCACCGTTTTTCATGCGGTCGTTCCCCTTCATGTGCACAAATGTTGCAGGAGCTATTACCGACAGATTGACAAGATGAAATCTCAACTGCAACACTTTCGTATCGACCAGACGAAAGCGCATTGCTGCGAGCAGGGCCATGTGGACCAGCATGGCCGAAGGATCCCTTGTGACAAGGAGACCATCAGTGAATCTTGACCATCGTTTTTGATTTTTGCGTCTGCCCTCCCTCCAAACATGGAAGTGTAGAGTGTCGAGGACCAATGTCTTTTGAGGGACCACTTTCCACTTCCAATCGTTGGAGGGAGGGTCAGGATGGAAACAGAGGGTCTACGGAATCCTCCTGTTTAACTTGAGTTGGTCCCCGTCGACCAAGACCGGTGGAGTTCATCCAGTCCCGGGATCCTCACCTAGACCTTCCAAGATTGACCGACCTTGGAGAGAGACCGACCTTGGAAGGAGTCGACGTCTGGCAGAGATGCCCTAACCTCATGGCGAGTCGCGGTGTTGGGGACCCGAATCCAATGCGGGTCGCGGCATGTTTCGGGCGTACCCAACATCTTTGCAGGGGTGAAGAAGCCCTCAAGACTCAGAGTGTTTGCTGGCGATGAAAACACCCGTTTTTATGTCCGCTCCCTTTGCTGAGGAATGTATCACGCACTGGTTTGGCTCAGTGGAAGCCTTTGAGAGATCTGTACGATCCAATGTGGCTGTTGCATTGACGCAAAGCTTGGGGAACCTGGTCTTTCCCTACAAGTACCCGGGATTCTGTGAGTGGTTGCTCTTGTACCTGACTTTGGGTGGCTTCTTGCGCTCGCTTGTGCTTCCTGTTGTTTTCATGAATAACAGAATAGAACTCATTTTCACTAGGAATCCATCCGTGTGTGCGACAACCTGAGGGCAACCTCAAATCTTTGTGGCAATTTTTTTTTGGTGAGGTACTTGCTGGCGGCCGGAGCACCTTCTCTATGGGGTCAAGCAGACTTTATCGCTTCGCGCTTGAGAGAGGAAGAGTATTATTATGCTGCTGTGACGGCTTGCTTTGGCCTCTCCTATTGGTTCGCTGTGGCTATGTGTTGAGACCAACATGCTTTGATCATTTCTTCTAATCCTTTTTTTGGGACTCTGCTTTGGACCTAAAGTTTTTGTGGCGTAATCAGGTTCATGAAAGTATTGCAGAATTCGGAATTCATTTGGCTTCATGCCACTCCCCACATCGCAGACCCACACTGCCCCAGCAAACTCAGGCAATTCCCTTCATCTTTGCCTGCGGTGGTCTTCTGAACTACAAGCTACGGCACCGGTGGCTATGGCTCAAAAATGCACTGCCATCCCTGCCATCCATACACCATTTATGGATTGATATTGATATATGCGAATGGAAGTGCAGCGACACGTACAGTGCAACTTGTACATATGTATGTACCATATGTACTTTGGCTCAAGGATCAAGCGACTAGAAAAGGTGCGGTTTCCGTTCCGACGCTACGCCGCTTATGGATCGTCAGTGATAGCTTCAAACTTCGCTGATTAAGATCCACTCGCAGGTTATCAGCCGTACGCGCTCTTTATAGCCGTACGAGCTACACGAGACCAAGAACAAGACTAGTCATTACAGAAACCTGCAATGTCAAGCTCAGGAGGAAATGGAAGCGAACCCTATTCATTCGCTGCTCCTGGTGGTCCCAACACCATTTCGTCACCAGACTCTACAATGGGTACTGATTCATCAGCAAATGCTGACGTTATCACTATGCCTACTGGATCACAAATCTCGGAAAGATCCGTGCCACCGGCTCGGAATCTGACCGATCTTGCACCCGTAGGACCAAGAAGATCGATGAGAGCTACAACAAGATCTACATCGCCTATAACGTCTACCGCGAGATCCCCAAGAAGGAGTATAGAGAAGAGACGTGACGATGATAGAGGAACAAAAGAGCAAAGAAGAGAGATTCAGCTGGGTGAAGAATTGAGATCGGCGAGAAACGCATACAATTTTCTTCATGAAGAATATGAATGCATCCAAGCCGGATGCTCACGACTACACCACGAGGCTGAAGTGGAGTTCAGGCAAATGTCTGACTACAACAGGAAGATGCAGGAACATCTACAAGAGATGACACAGGAAGATGAAGGAGCGACAATAAGAATTGAAGAGCTCGAACACAAGCTACGCTTGGCGGAATCGACAGCTGAACATATCTACATGAGATATCAAGAGCTTGCACAAGAAACTCATCAAGAACATTCAGAGCTTGAATCTGTGAAAGCAACGAAGGACAGAATGTCCCAAGAGCTTCAAGCAGCAATTGGACACATCCAAGAACAGAATGAATCTTCATTGGCGATCAATAGAAGATCAAAAGCCATTCAGGATGAGAACACAGCCTTCGTCGGAATAGCTGACCAGATACAAGCTAGAATGATTGCGCTACAGAATGAGAATGTCAACATGCACGAGGTGATCCAACACCAGAGAGAAGAACAATGGAACAGTGAGGTCAGGGAAAGACGTCTTCAACACAGTGTTCACTCATCTCAAGATCAGAGCAATCAGGAAGCTATGGTTATTGATCATCTACGAGGTCAACTAGCTATGGCACGTGGAGCTGAACTCAACGCGAGAGCGGAGATAGAAGAGATGGAAGTGGGCATGAGGATGGAGATATTTGTATGCCAGACTGAAGTCTCTGCTTAAAGAAATGGCAGAAATGAAGGCGAGCCACCATGAATACGAAGCAAACGTCGCAAAGGAGGTTATCGCAAAAGGAGAAATATTCAACAACGAAGTCCTAGAAGGTTCCATCCGTGAACGACAACAGTTGAAAGACGCCAACCTCGCTCTATCCGAAGCCAACGCACAGCTGAAAAGAGAGAATATGATGAGAGCTCCTATGTTCGGCGATGATGGTGCTGAAATTCAACAGAAGATCAGAGAACTGGAGAATGCACTATTGGAAAGCCAGAAGGAGACAAAGAATGTCATTATGGAAAATGCGAAATTAAAAGCAGAAGCACGAATGGCACCCATAGTCTCTCGGTACAGCAAGCGTCCTAGTTCCAGAGACCGCGGGTTACCAACCCACGCGTCCGAGGAAGATGAGATTCGGAACGCAAAAGAGGAGGCGAAGCACTACAAGGACGGGTACAATGAAATGACAGAGAGCCGAGATGAGATGTATGAATGGTATGCCGAAACCCACAATGAGTACGCCGAGGAAAGGGAGAAATCAATTGAGCTATCCGAGGCGAACAAATCATTGAGGGACAAGATTTCAGAAGCAGAAGCATCCTCTTCATCTCATCTTGCACCGGCAACCTCTACAATCATGAAAGTATCGAGGAAGGAAGAATCAAAGATAAACGTTCCGTCATGGCCCAGGATCAATGATCTTGAACTATGGAAGGCAAATCTCATTCAATCGATCATCATTGCGGCCAATGATTCAGATCAAGAGCCCTGGATCGACTGGATCAAAGAAGCCATGGACGATCCTGATCCGGACAAGTTTGTCGACTCAGGAGACCAAAGATTCCATTCAATCGATGCCAAACTCGGCCTAGCTCTTACCAAGGTCGTCATGGATGCGAAAGATGATGGTTCAGGTGTAGCTATGAAGTTGAGGACGAGGATCAATGCAAAAGGGAGAACATCAAGCCTCATAAAGGGAAGAGAGGTCCTAGCCCTGATCCTTATGAATTTCAAGACAACATCAAATGTGGAAGTCTTATATACTTCAATGCACCTCTACCAACTAGAATATCAAGGAGACAAGAACTTATCGTTGTTCTTCCACACTTGGGATGAGATTCTGGCAGGAATGAAGCCCGTTGACGTCCCGAGCGACGAAACTCTTCGGGATCTCCTATGGAGAAAGATCAGGAACTCAAACCTCATGGCATACGACATCAGCGCCTACAACAGCATGAACGACGATGATGCCAAGAAGACATACAAACATCTACGTGATATGATCAGAAGGCACATCGAACGGCAAACTGAAGACAGGATGATCCTGGAAAAGGAGAAGGCAGTGAAGAATGTGGCCAATATCTTTCAGAATCTCAAACCAGGCGGACCTGCTCCAAAACTGAAAGCTGCACCAGCTGATCCGAAGAAGAAACCAAAAGGGCAACAAGAACAGGTTGTCTCAGAAGACGCTGCTGCAGTGAAGCCGAAACCCAATCCCAAGAAGCATCCTGAAGACAAGAACAAAAAGGGAAAGGGGAAAGGTAAAGGTGATGGAAAGGATCGCAGCCGAAGTCCGAGTACAGACAAGAAGAAGATACCATGCAAATACTTCGTGAAAGGTAACTGCACTATGGGGAAAGATTGCCCATTCAGTCACAAGAAACCCAGATCACCATCCAGAGGATCTTCTGTCGGAAAGAATGACAAGCCAGTATGTTGGATGTGGATTCGAGGAACTTGTGACAAAGGGAAGGATTGCAAGTTCTACCATGACCCAAAAGCCTCTCCTAAGAAAGGGATATCTGCACCAGCTGACTCAGGAGACGATAGGCCAAAGCCCAAGGCAAAACCCAAACCGAAGCCTAAGGCGAAGCCTGGAGCCCCAGCCATTGACGGTGAACTCTTCATGGACGAATCCGAAGATGAAGGGATTGCTGCATCCGCCAAGGCAAGAGAAAGAGGTGCAAAAGTATCCTTTGATGAAGAGACTTGTGAGATCATGTTGAACGAAGCGATCTACTCAGTCAGGAACAAATGGAAGGTAGTAGAAAGGAAACCTCTACGTCCAGACATCAAACGATACGATGAGAAAGAGCTCACCTGCTACACGAGGAAAGAACAAATCAGATTTGAAGAAAAGGTCGCAGAGGCAAGAGGCATATTGATGGTCCCCTACACTGAGATCAAGAGAGTCCGAATACCAGTTGGACCAAAGGGTGACCTAGCGGTCACTATGTCTTTTGACGAAGATGACGGCCTAGTTTTCCATCATAAAGTCATTCCTCATGTATGCGAGGGAAAGAAAGATCATGCAGACACAAAGACATTGTCTATTCCAGCCAAAGGGTCAAGAACAAAGTTCATCATGGACACAGGATGTGGGTATGATTTGATATCGAAAGGCAGAGCCAAGAAATTAGGTCTGGAAGTGAGAGAAAGCGACCAATCAATGTCATTCTATACCGCAAATGGAGTGACATCCACAAAGGGAGTCGCCGACATTCATTTCGACGAATTTGACTCTACCTACTCCCCATTCGTCTTAGATGAGTCTCCTTCAGTACTGTCTGTTGGAAAGAAATGCATGGAGGAAGGTTACACATTCATATGGCCAGCCTGCGGCAACCCGTACATGGTTTCCCCGAACTACAAGAAAATCATGTTAGAAGTAGAGGGAAACATCCCATATATTGTCAAGGGCAGTGACTTCTGTAACCCCACCGACGATGTAAGGGCGGAGATGATCGCAAGGTTCACCCTAGGAGAAGGTGAAGCTGATTACCAATCGGCTTTCATCAACTGTGATGTGGATCCTCAAGGCGTCATGTGTGATGATGACGACCTCCCTGTGATTGAGCCTCCAAAAGTCAAAAGACGAAAGAGGAATAAGAAGTTCAAGGCATCTCCTGGAGAAGAAGATGAGGTAGGATCAGATGTCGCCGGAGACAGTGAACCAGAAGCTGACGATGATGATGCAGATGACATCGAGGTGGATATTGTTGACGGTGCAAGCAGAATGGTGAGAAGAGGAACTCTGAAAGCAGATGCCAGGAAAATCGAACATCTACTCACACACCGTTACAAGAATCCCTACTGTGAGTCATGCATCAGAGCAAAGATGAAACACTTCAAGACGCATCGAGGAGCGTTCAAGAGAAAGCTCAAAGCTTTTGGGGATCTGGTTACCTTTGATTTTGTCGATACGAGGAACATCCTTGATCAAGGGATCAGTACTGATCGAGAGATCTTCGTCATTCGTGACAGGTACACAGGCGTCATATGGGCCTATCCGTCGAAAGAAAGGTTTGCCAAGGACGTGGTCAATGCAATAAACCACTTCAAAGGATTGAAGAAGATCAAGATTGCTTATGCCGACAAAGCCCCAGAGTTTGAGACGGCTATGAAGCAGCTGAAGATCCCATTCGATCATTCTCTACCGAATCATCCTCAGAACAATTCTCTGGCGGAGAGGAACAATCAGTTCATTATGATGACAACCGCAACTTGCCTCTTGGAAGCGGGATTACCACCATGTTTCTGGAGCTATGCAGTAGAATGCGTCAGCCATCTTTTGAACATTGAGGAAGGAGAGGACGGAGTGAGCCCTT